GTCACCTGTAGAATCTTGTTACTCTATTCACAAATCCAGAGATGTACTCCCAATTATATCGCAGTGATGTTTTTGTTCGTTCAAAATTGTGGCACATAATATCCTCGTTTCGAATAGCCTAGAGAGACGCAAGTACGGAAACAACTAAGAATCCACGGATTAGCTACTGACCGTAAGCAATGCCTGATCCTCTATAACATTCCACTCAGGTCCGTCATAGTCTAACTCTTCTCTAACGGCAGGTGGTGGTGTTACTGGTCGTGTCAGTTCACGTCCTTTCTGCTCAAGTTGGCGTGGTGCAGTACGTCGTTCTTTCCTTGTTGATCGACTTTCTGGTAGAGTATCTTAATATATCATTGGCCTTACTGAAACTACCTCGTAACTAAGATTCTTACCGTTTTTGAGTTCATATCCTTGCATATACTGGTCGAACTCAGCTGGGGAATAAGGAGCGGGGCTATTCGCAATTGGAGGTGGAGTATATGCCTGTGGAGGGTTATGAAGAGCTTGTTGGAGCAAACTCATCACAGCTGCATCAGATGACGACATATGAGCAGTATTGCTCACTGGGACAGGGACAGGAGCTAAAAACCATTCAGATGACCTACAAATTACATAATCCATACACAGTTGTAAGAAATCCTCACGAGTTTTCTTCACAGGACTGACTGGTTTAGTCAGTGAACTATGAAGTTCATGAATTTCCAATGGAAGACGTTCTTCGGGCATAAAATCGCGGTCATAGAGGAGATCAAGACAGTCATCAAAATAAACGTCATTCTCAGTATCAGACAGGGGTGGTGTCGGAAATGGCGTCCACATCTGAGAACATCGAAATTTTCAGAATCGAACTTTTGCAGGATAATGTGAAATGCGATACTTACCGGCATGACTTGGTTGAAGAAGTCTGGGTCATCGGCGAAGACCTACAATTTTCTTTGTTACGCAATATAACTGTGAAACTTTGAACATCGTATAATGCCACCACTTGTTCATGAGGCACAGCACAACAAGACCTCTTTTGTCAATACTTTCTCGTACTTGGCAGTACAACAACCAACACTCCATGGCACTGTATTTCAACTTTGAATATTGGGCTCAAATCGGAATTTCAAATCCATGTAATCAATAGACATAATAAAATCGAATTTGATGCAATATTACTTCCCTTTTAACCATACACTGGAAAGAACTGAATTCGGGAGGTATTGAACTTGAATACATTGCAAGCCAAATTGACATCCAATTTTTAAATAATGTCATATAATAAAATCATGAAGTATGTAAAATTACAACAATTTCAATAAAGTTCTAGGAATCAATGTACCAGTGCTCTGCGACACTACACAATATATAACTCAACTCACTAAATTCACATTACTGGAAAGTCTATTGGGTACTTGACTTAGAGGTAGGATTGCGAAGATTGGTAAGCGCTCTGTTTGGCTACGTCGAGTGGCGCCATTCCATCATTATAGGCAAATGTGTTGATCTCTAACTTTTACTTATTAAATGTTAACTGCGAAACAGCTAAATACCTTTGAGAATTTCAAATAATCTTGAGCCAGAAGTGACTATTGTGAAAACACACACTAACATTTTCTCATAGAAAATTTGCGGAGAGATTCTGATTCACAATTCAGAAAATATCGTTATCCCAAACTCGTTCATACTGCTCATACTTATGCATCAAGCCAGCAGTGTTAAACACTTCTCTCGTTGTGTATAAAAGCTCATGAAAATACCTTTCTGTCGTTTTCTTGCGGGCGCAAGATAAAAGCAGAAAACAACCACTCAAACGTCTCTAATCAAGCTCTTCGTGTAACGTATAACGTATAATATATGATGAGAGTTCTGGCAGGAGATTCTGTTAAAGGGAGACAAAGCATATTCCAAAAAATTAGAAACCAGTACAGTCGCCCACAATTACTATACCTATATTCTGTTTAATTTCGTAAAAAT